CCAAACATACAAGGAACCATTCAAGGAACTTGCTATGGCAAAGAAACAAAAGGGATAGAAGCAGGTTCAACAGAAGAACGAACCAGCCCCCTGAAATGAGCAGGAAAAGAGCCTGTCTTCGGAGCAGGTGGAACACAGAGCAACAAACCAAAAAACCGCCAAATGGAATGTGATGAAATCTGAGAGGAAGGAGAGTAGCAAACTGTAAGAAATAAAAAGAAACAGGCGAAGGAAATACGAGTACACTGAAGCACAAGCCAAAATCCGTACAAAGGCGCAAGAACTCGGGGAGATCGAAATTGCCTCAAAGCAGCTCTTAAGAGCAAGGAAGGAATACGCAATCGTACAATCTGCAATATTTAAACTTAAGCAAGAGCAAGCGGAGAGCCTCTTGAAAAAGAGGACTCTCCGCGTTGGATGGGTAAACTGCCACATACAGGAATGGATAGAGGTGCGCCGATGCTACAAGAGCCTAGAATGTGGACATATAACCCAGACAAAAAAAACAGCAGTGCTGGAAATGTGGAAAAAGTGGGCAAGAACAAAAAGGCTGTGTGGAGGGCCCACGTGCGAAATGTGTAAAGCTAAAAATAATCAAATTTTACACACTTTTTGGGAAGCAAATGGTTTAACACCTTTCAGAAAGAATTGTAAAAACGACGAGCACAATACTAAGGGTTCTATAAGTAAACCTAAGAAGAGGAAAACAGGCCCAGGACCTCCCTCTCGAAACACTGAGACAGAGACATAGGTATATCTCTAGTAAGCGAATTTCTCTAAGAAACGAACGGAATCCATGGTACCAGGATGTCACCGGCAAAGCCGGAATATTAATCAATATGAATTTGCTCATCCAAGATTTCTGCGAGTGGAACAAGGGCTTCGTATGGGTCGAGATAAACAACACACAAATTTACAGTTGCTACTTCTCACCAAACGACGCCCTGGATACCTTCTAGAGATATATCGAAGTCTTGAAGGCTCAATAGCAACGGCAATATCATCGTCGGAGGCGACTTCAACGCCAAATCAACAGGATGCCAATCCCCTAAATTTGATAAAAGAGGGTCGTTGGTAATAGATATGTGCTCACGTAAAAACCTCATTGTGATGAACAATAATGAAGCAGCAACGTTTCGTAGAGAATGTTCCAGATCTATCATTGACTTGACTCTGACCACCAACAGAGTGGCAACCCAAATACGAAACTAGGCAGACCTCGAAAAGATCACACTATGCGACCATATGTACAATATATAGAGTTCTTCATTGAAAAAAACAGCAAACGGAGAAGCCGACAAAAAAATAATTTCTCGGCGTCATGTAATGTCAAGAAATACAACAAAAACACAATAATTGCCTTTCTGGAAGGATGCAACACATCCTCAATCAAATGAGGTGGACCAAGAAAGAAGAAAGGGGAAGGCACATGCTAAGAATGTCATATAAACAATCAAAGAAGCATGCAACATGACAATGCCGAAGAAACACCGGCATCCCAACAGGAAACCAATGTACTGGTGGACTGAAGCAATCTCAGCGCTTAGAAACAAATATTTTAATGCAAGAAGGAGATACACAAGATCGAAAGGATGTCCTTCTCTAAAAATAGATTACAATCAGTGCAAAGACAAGTTGAAAGATGCCATAAAGGACAGCAAAAGGAGATGCTGGTTTTCCCTATAGAAGAGGTAGAGTTCGACATATGGGGAAACCTCAAGAGGCAAACGCCAGAATTGGACGATCTTTCCTGGGTAATACTATTACTAAAATCGCTATTTCCCAACGAGCGGCACAGACGACTCTAGAAGCGGATACCCAAGGAAATTACCCGTTTACCGTAGAGGAACTACAGAAAGTAGGGGGCTCTCTTAAGAACAACAAAGACCTGGTAGAGACGGTATCTCCAATGAAGCCATGAAAACAATACTCAAGTTTTACCCAGAGCTTTTGTTGCGTATCTACAACAAATGCCTGGAAAACAAAGACTTTTTCGATAACTGGAAGATCCAAAAATTAATTCTTATCAGAAAAGGGAACAGGTCCCTGAATGAACCCTTTTCATAGACCTATATGTCTGCTTGATACAATAGGGAAAATTCTAGAAGGATTACCTATAGAAAGAATCAAACTACAACTGGAAACAAGCAGGCTACTTTCGGACAGACAGTTTGACTTCCGAAAAGGCAGATCCACCGTAGATTCTATCAAACTGGTTGTGGAAACTGAACAAAAGACTAAAGAAGAAAAAGGCTTCTGCGCGTTAGTCAGCATTGACATTAAAAATGCATTCAATACAGCAAAGTGGCACGACATAATCTCCGCCCTAAAGGATAAAAAGACCTCCGAGTACATCCTTGACATAGTTCGAAGCTATCTGAACGGTCGAACAGTAGACTACAAAAGTAAGGAAAAAACACTTACACACAAAATTACCTGCGTTGCACCCTAAGGCTCCAAAATTGGACCACTAATGTGGAATGTACTCTATGACAACCTGTTGGAAATACCTCTGCCCACGAACGTCATACTGGTCGGTTTTGCAGATGACGCTATCATCGTAGCATCGGCAAACTTCACCAGAGACCTCGAAATAAATGTAAATGACAGCCTAGAACGGGTTCAAGCATGGTTGACAGAGAAAGGACTGGAAATGGCTACCGGTAAGACAGAAGCAGTCATAGTTACAGACAGAAGATCGTTTATCGGCCCAAAGTTCAATATTGGAAGAAGAAATATGTTCTGCCAGAAATCTCTCCATTACCTGGGAATGAATGTAGATAACAAGCTCAGATTTGGTCCACAGGTAATCGCGGCAGCCGAAAGATCTCAGGGTACGGCATCTGCCCTTTCGA